CAGAGGTGGTGGTTTGGAAAGGTGATTAATACACCCATAAATTTGTAATTGAATGTGTGGTGGGGGTGGGGCCTCGGCAGAAGAATCCGTTCACTTAGATGTGATCTGCAGGGTGTATCTTGTCCCTAAAGACTTTCCTCTCTCTCTGTTTTCTGGCTGCTGTAGGGTTAGCAGCCTTCCCACCACACCTTTCTAACATGTTATTTCTGTCTCTGAGCCACAACCCATAGACTGAACCCTTTGAAGCCAAGAGCCAAATTAAAACTCCTTTTTTTTTAAACTCCTGTTTTAAATGTTGTTGTTAGGTATTTTTTCTCAGCAACAAGAGAGTGACTAATACAGTCAACATAAAATATGTTTCCAGTAAGTAGAGTTTACAATGTTATTTTTTGCTAAATAGCCTAAAACTGTACTACTATTTCATTTTTAATCTGAGTGATTTAGAAGAATTTTATTTTCCCAATGAGAGAAGTTCTTGATGGCTTGGTTTATATATTTGTAAATAATCTGAGTTTTACTATAATAAAAAATCTGACACTCTACATTTTGGAATTCACTGTATTTTTCCTCATTATCTAATGTATTGTTTGTTTTTGTAAATATTCCACAGATTTCTGAAAGATGATGTATTTTTTGTTGGCAAGCACCATTGTACCTATTAAAACATTTTTAAAATATAGTTATAATTCTTCCTATAATCTGACCAAGACAATGATACAGGTGAGTTGTTTCCTAAGAAAAAGGACTTTCTATGACTTCCCTGTTATTTCCAACAACATTTGTGTTATTTATGTCAATACTATGCTAATTGTTTATGTAAAGCTCTATTATTTTATTATAGCTATATTATGGCTATATATATTTTATAAATATAAAATGATACTCCCCTGCCATTCTTGATCCTTTTAGGCTTAAACTTTGAAATTTATCTTGCCAACCATATTTCTTGTTGAAATGTTTGTATGTGTTTTTGGTTATTCTTTAGCTTTGAGCTTTTCTTCTTTCACTGCCAGTTGTGTCCCTTGGATATTTAGTTTTGAACATGCTGTTTAAATATGGAACTCGATTTTTATATTTTTCATTGAAGTTGAGTCCATCCATAAGAAAGATGAATGCATTTATATTTTGTCTCTCCTCTGCTTGGCTTTTCTCCTAGTATGGGAGTCTACTTAAAATGTCTGAGTGTATGATTTTTTCAGTTTCCCCTTTTGGATCATCTTTCCCAGTTTTATGCTCTCTGTGTACACCACGCACAGTGCAGTTGTTGTGTCATTTCCAGTGCTGCTGCCGGCATATTCGTGAGATCTTCATGGCTGACACCTGTGTTGCTTTGAACACCCACCAAGCCCGCCAAGCCCGCCACGGTCCTCTCATGACCGCGGCTTCGGAGTATCTTAGTATCTGACAGAGACCCCAGGGAAGTGCTGCCTTCTGCCTACAGCCCCGTCTCACCTCTAGCAGTTAACTGAGGAGGATTTAGCGACCTTCATCCAAGGTCTTCTGCAGCTGTTTCCTGAGATACTCTCCTCAGGAGCATTGCATGCTAGCTAATCTTTGAGGGCCTCCATCCATCTCCTCACTGTATTTCTAAAACTGTTATGTGGATGATGTCTTTCTTGCTTTCCTGCCATGCTGCAGAGTTTTCCTGCTTGTATGTATCTTTGATTATTTTCAGGCTGATTAGGAAGGTGATGGACAGAGATGCCTTTGCTTATGTGTGTGTGTGTGTGTGTGTGTGTGTGTGTGTGTGTGCATGTGAGACAAATATCTGTTTATCTGCAGGATTTCCAGAGGGAAAACCAAAAATATTAGTGGTTCAGTGTATGAATCAGAGGCTTAAAGAGTTAGAATATAAAATTGAGAGACACCAATATGTGACAGATGTCCAGTCACAGAAAAGAGAGGGACCAGCAGTTCTAACATCTTTTGGGTCACCAGAACGCACACATGCCTTGGTTTCACCCCAGAGATTCTAATGGGGCAGGGCAGTGGTCTCTAGGATTCTATCCTCTCTTTTTAAGTTTCCATCAAAAGTTTTCTACAGTTGAGTACTAAGGGAGGACATCATGATGATTTTCCCCTGGTGCCCTCATTTATGTTCTGTGGTGTCCTGTCTCTACTTTGCTGGATATGTGTGTAGTCACTGGGGAGACCACAAACTGAAAAATGATGGCTATTTTGAAAAGGTGTTGTGGGGAAGGGATAGGAATGTGGTAACAGGGACTATATGGTCATTTTTGCAGAAAAGCACTGCTTCTTTACTTGAGTTAAAATTGTTTCCTTGGCTACCTTTACCTTTGGGTCAGATTCCTGCTCACTGTCACATGCAGGCCTGTTAATCATTGAAGGAGTGTGTCTAGACTGGTAATAAGAAGTCCTAAGTTTACCTACTCTCCAGTCCCATTCGAAGAGTAAGACACCAAGAGAAGAGTAACTAAGGTTATTTTCAAGACTCCAAGAAGAGCCAGTCTCATGCAGATCACCCCATAAGTGGACCTGAGGCCACACACCTCCTACCCCAGGTGGTAGCAATCACCCCACGACAGGAATCAAATTGTTCCCTTGTTATAGTTTAGATTAAAAATGTCTCTCCAGCATGTTTCCAAGGGCTGTGGCTGGTGTAGCCATGGGATCTCCAACTGCATGCGAGAGCAACCTGGAGAGACTTTGACAGCTCAGGTCAACCCAATACCTGTGGCTGCCACTCACCTTTCCTATAAGGAACAGCACCTGGGCTGGAGCACTGATGAGCCCATGTGGGGTCCGACCATATCCTCATAGATCAGCCCATTCAGATTTGTTCTGTAGGTGTCCCCAGGGTTCCTGGAAGTGGCTGACACTGAGGAGATGATCTCTGGAGCTGTGCTTAGACTAAGGGTCTTACTTCACCATGCTGGGCTGACAGGTACACACTACCACACCCCGCAACGGCTGTTAAGTTCCTAGTTCGGAGAGACCAAGGGAAAGAAGACCAAGGCAAAGAAGAACAGGCTGCAAGCTCTGTAAACGATTTTTTGCTATTGGTGAAAAAGCCTGTGACTGACTACAGGTTGACCAATAAAGACTTTGGAGCTGTCTTGAGTGGCAAATTTAATTACTCCTAGGTTGAAACTGATTTAATAAATCTTGTAACTTTTGTAAAAAAAAAAAAAAAAAATGTCTCTCAAAAGTCTCATGTTGCGAGGTAGGGCCTGGATGGAACAGGTGGGTTATAAAGGGTGGTACCTGGAAGGGTGCATTCCTGAGTTCTCTTTCTGTTTCTTGGTTGCCATGAGGTTAATAGTTTTCCTCTACCAGGCTCTTCCACCATGCTGTTTCTGCCTCAGATTCAGCCAGCCATGGACTTAACCCATTGAAACCGTGAGCCAAAACAAACCTTCCCTCCTTTCTGTGGGGCCATCAGGTATTTTTGTCCCATGGGTGGAAAGTTAACTGATCCACTCTTCAAGCATTACTGGTTTCCCTGGTGCCCTGAGATAATGGTCAACCAGATCACAAGTTGACCAAGACAGCTCGGCCATGTATGTTTACTACTGCCCACCTGTCCTTCCCTTTAAAACCCTGAAGCTCTTGTCATTACCCCAGAGACAGAGTGCAAGGCACTGATCCTGTGTTCCTTCCCAACGTGGCCAGGCTGAATAATTCCTTTCCTGGTCTCCTTATCACTTGCCCATGTGGTTAATTAGGGACAATGTGTAAACTTTGTCCATCGGGACCGCCAGAATTGGGGCTCCTGCCCAGGACCTGGTAACAATGCTAATGTGAAGCCAGCAAAAAGAGAGAATACAGGACCAGTGCACAAGACTGTGCTGGGAGACCTGAGTGCAGGTGCAGAGATGCTGGGTGTTGAGTTACAGAGTGGAGGGAAGCAGAGGACAGTGGCGGGGACACCAGGGCTGTCTGACCACAGTCCTGTCTCTCAGATGTGTGCCACCCTAACAGTCTTGACTTTACAATCTCCAGTCTCTTACTGCCACCCATTTCTCAACCTGGAACATAAGTCCCAGCTCAGGGCAGTCACCCTCTTGGTATAGAACCAGACATTTAAATGACAAGCTTAAAGTTACATGACTGATAAACGGAGACCGAGGCTTGAATTTAGGGCAGTCTGGGGCTCTGGCCCTCCCTCTTCCTTCTTCTCTTTCCCTTCCCCCACCCTTTCTGTCTTCCTTTCCCATTACTCTAATACACATCCCCTTTGGCCTGCACAGGGATGTCCCACCCTGACCTTTGTTTGGAGAAGGGCTGGTCCTCAAAGGTGCTCCAGGGATTGGGTCCACCCACAAGGCTACCCAAGGCCACGCCCTCCAATGTAGCACCAGCCTCTTGGGGCCACCCTGAGGGGACATTGCAGCTCCAGAGTGCCCACAGCTCACCATCTCTCCCCACCTCCACGCACTGTGCCCCAGGGCCCTGCCCGCATCTCCTCTGTTTCCACGGGACCCAGTCTGCAAGAGAAGACAGAACCGGGATTTCTTGCTACTTCCGCCCTTCCCCAGAGCCTTCTTCAGTATCTCAGGTCTTCAGTGTCTTCAGTGTCACGTCCAGGTCACGGTCATCTGAGTTCTGGGTACACAGGGCTCAAGGGTACATTAACCTGGGGCTAAGTAAATCAAATGGCCCCAGGTATCCAGTGGCTTGGGCTTTACTTTTTCCTCCAGTCTTCCTTATGAGAGGGCAGATTGTGCTTGGGAATCCTAATCTTGTTTGTTTGTTTGTTTGTTTGAGACAGAGTCTTGCTATGCAGTTTGGGCTGCCCTAGACTCACTATGTGACTGAAACTGGCCTTGGAATTCAGTGATTCTCCTGCCTCAGCCTCCCGAATGCTGGCATTATGGGCGTGCACCACCATGCTGGGTCAGAAACCCTAATTTTGAATCCCAGATCTAAACAGGCTGCAAGCAAAGCCACAGACTGGAAATGTCCAAGCTGACAGCTGATAAACCATCACACAGGGATCACAGTGATGACAGAGGAGTAAAATCATGACCAAGCCAAAGTAGACCAATTTCAGCGCTTTTATTTCAGGTTCATTTTCCCTGTATGTTTTCTCAGGATATGTCAGGAAAAAAAAAATCAGGCCATTTATCAGAAAAACAATTTTTCTCGTTGGCTTGTCCATGTGATTAAGTATTACAGATATGTGAACAAAAATGAAACAATCAATACCTATATCCTATACATTTTGCAAAATTTTTCCACATTTTAATTATTGTTTTACGTCCATATAATCACTATACATAGAAACTAAATATACGATTCGGGATATACGTCTCAGAAATGCTTTGAGAATTTTTAGGACTTGGTTTTCAATTAGACTTCTATATAGATTTCATCTGTACTAACCACTTAATTAGAAAAACATATGGAAAGTAATTTGTAACGGAAACCTCAAAAGTTTAGCATGGAGGACAATTCCTGTTTAGGGTAAAGGATAGTATGAGGGCCATTACAGTAGCACCCCGTACTCATTGTTAATTGGGTCCGAGAGGCATGCGAAGTACCCAAAGTGACAAGTACCAAGCAAATTGCTTTAGTTGGAAAGGGCAGTGGCCATGAGGCCACAGACACCAGCAAGTTCTAGCTTGCAGGTCAAGTATCAAACAAAGGAAAATGACCAGGATAAAATTTTTGCATCAAAATGTAGCTTGCACCAAACCTGAGGAGTTTCAAACCAGCTGGACACCCAAGCACGACTGTCACTGGAACACATTCTCTCCTGACTTGGTTAATAAACCTCCAGACAGCAGCAAATTCAAGCTGGGTGGTATCAATGACTGTTCAGGTCTCGCTGAGTACATTATCTAGTACATTAATAAACCCCATTTAAGTAACCACTTTAAATGTATTGTAGACTCCAGTGCCTCTTAAAGTCTTTGGTTATTGATTTTAAATCTTCTTTGCAGTCAGGGGCCTCTCAGGAGGCCACAGGCTATCACACATCCCACCTGGTTGGTCTTTTCCTTTCCTGACTGCCTATGGTCATGGAACCAGCTCATCAATAAGAGTTGTTGAGACCTGCTGTGGGCTGTGACCTGAACCAGGACCCTGCTGCAAATGCCATTAGAAACAAAAGGAGATACCTGCTTGGAGGAGCTGTCACCCTGGTGGTTTTCGTGAGCATGAGCCAGCATGGCTTTGATTAATTTCTTATCTACCAACAGCGCTGCCAAAAATGATTTTTTTTTGTAGTAGCCTTGCCTTAGATGCTCCTTTCAGTTGACAGAGGGGGAAAAAAAGTTCCCATTAACTAATAAAAAAATGTACAAAATCTGTTTAGAATCTGGTAGGCTTGTCTCCAGAGGTTTGCTATCTATTCACAGATCAGATTTCATAATGTAAAGTACTGGAACATATTTTTCTAATTACGCATACATCCAGTTAAACATGTATTCTTATCTTTCACATCTTAAGAGTAAAATGTCAGGACATTTTTGTGATTTCCTCTAACCAGTAAGACAGGGGGGAGGTTCTTGGTGAGTATTTCTAGCCAAGCCATATACAGCAAGTCCGATATGGATCCTTTTCTTGCCACGGGAAGGCTCCTGGTCACAGGGAAGAAAAACAGAAAAACACAGTGAAATGCCCCCCTGGCGATAACTTCTCTACCATTGCCGAACTATTTAACATTGGTAGAAATAATCCCCATGCCCCAGTAGTGGAAAGCTGTTATATTTGGGAGAAGCCTCAGGAACCAGCTCCTGGAACTCCACCAGCACATTCAGGAGATTATTCTGTGGTGTCAGAGGTGGACAATCCTTGACCTTGGCCAGCACTGGACACACGTGGTCTCCACACACAGGAATCATCTCAGGAGGAACAGATGAAATGGCTGGAGGTTCCTCCATGCTCACCTGACAGTCTTTTATTAAATGAACATTAATAGTTGTAGGGGCCACACTCTTAATCTCTGTAGGGCCAGAGAGTGAAGTGAGAGAATGGAAAATCCACCAGCTTTCTCTCACGCTGGCCTCTTCCCACACTGTGAGTATCCTCACATGTCTGCTATAGGCACTCGGCCAGGGAGATGCCTTGAATCTTGCAGCCCGTGTGGGGCAGGAAAATGGGGCTCTCAGGTCTCTGAGCAGGAGCCCAGATCCCAAAGGGAAGCAGGAATTTCCTCCCATGGGTGTGGTATGATTGTTAGGAAGTCTAAGGGAGACCCTCATGGGCCCAACTGTCAGGTCTTCCTTTGCTGCCCCAAATACCACATGATGCAATTAGACAAACAAACAAACAATCAAAGCTTTCCCTTCCAAAGAGCCATGAGCTCAGAGATCGATGGATCCATCTACCCTGCATGGCTACTTACAGGACGATGAGGTTGGCAGCTCTGGAGTTCTCCTGCAGCAGCTCGTTCAGGCGCACCTGGCGGTAGCTCTGTGGAAAATATGCAGACTGATCAGGGCAGCCCCACCGGAATTAGGGACTTCAAATTGTGCACAAGCAGAAAACTTCATTCAAAAAGGAGTTGTGAAAACACAGTTACAATGTAATTTTAAGAATGTTTTCAGATTTCTTGAGAAATGTTAGAAATATATATATAAAAAATAAAAACCAGGTTGGCATTGTATCCCAATGAGTTTATTAAATTTTAAGGGGAAAAAGCAAACTGCCTGGATCACAACATGAAGCAGAGAACACTTTTGGTTAAAGAAAACTGATGGACTCTGGATACTAACTTGTGCGCTAGGAAGACAGGTAATATCTTACTCTTATTTTTCTTTTCAGTTCTCTGAATATTTTCTTACCATGGAGGACTGATTGAATGGAAAAGCGACAAATAAACTGACTTGGAAAACCATTTTCTACATGGTTGGTAGGACTTTAAACTAGAACAGCCGCTCTGGAAATTAGTATGGAGATTCTTTAAAAGACTAAAACTAGAAATTCCATTTGACCCAGCTAGGCATCTTCCTGAAAGAGCTAAAGTTATCATATTATAGTGATACATGCATTACCTTGTTTATAGCAGCACAATTCATATATATATATATATATATATATTCATATATATATATGAATCCTACTTGCCATAAAAATAAATGTTAGTGTTTTTGACACTGTAAAAGAGCAAAATATAAAGTAAAAAGTAGCCTTTATTCCAAGGATGTGGAGAGGAGTCCATGACCATAGGTGGTCTGGGTTCCTCTGACCAGAATGTGAGGTATGGGATAGACAAACAACCTGACAGGAGTGGTGCTTAGGGAGGGCTTGGATGACAGGGGAGGAGGTGATTGGAACTTTTTTCACATGCACTAGGAAAGGAAAAAGGAAGTTGTCATAGGAGAAGCAAGAAGTGACCTCAAGGTAAACATCCTCTGATTCTGCCTCCCACCGCCATAATATCGCATAACATTCTAGGGCAAAACTCTTTCAATACATTTGAGCCATTTGTAGGGAAATGGATGCATCTTGAGACCATAATGCTAAGTGAAAGAAACAGAAGGCTTAATATTGCAGTTTCCCTTACATTAGAAACTCAAAGTATAACTTAAAGAGTAAAATAAAAGAGATGATAGGAAACAGGAAGGTGGATTTATGGAGATGGGAAAGGAGCTGGGGTGGTAGTGAGGGGAGGATTGGAGGGGTAAGGGAAGTAAAAATAATTCAGATGTAATATTTAATCATTAGGATGCACGATGTTCTAATTTCTCAAGATGATTGTAACTATTATGTATTACGATCATCTCAACTATATGTATTTGAAAAAGAAACTGATTTTGCAGTGAGGACAGTAGTATTCATTTATATTGCCCTGGTTCCAAAACCAAGGCTCACTCCCACGTATGATTTGCTTAATTACTGAATTCTTTGTTGGAACTGGAAGGTTTATCACACGTGCAGTCTATCATTTTAGTGGTTATTTTTTTTTTTCACTAAATTGGAAAAAGTTTTCATATTTCCTCCTCTAATTTTCCCAGATCATAGTTCGTTTAGATTCTGGAGGATAGAAATTCTTGTGATTCTCTTTCTTTAATCACCAATTTAGATATCAGCCCTCCCTCACTTGGAGTGGCTTCCCTCTGCACCATCTTCCTTATCAGCCAGTTCTTTCAAAGTCAAAGATTTAACTCCTGGCGGGCTCCCTGGCCAGCTCACCATTTGACATCTATCTTATGTGTAAGATAGATCCAACCTTTATATCATTGCTCCAAACATATCTCAAATTTCCTTAAATACTGAGTCACCTATGTTTTTCTTAGTGCAGATGTTGGCTTGAATTATTTTAGATTAATGCAAATAAAGTTTGAAAGGAGACTCCAGCATGTGTACCAATAACTGGTGGTTTATTTTTAAACTTTTAAAAGACACTTTTGCTTTCTGGGATAAAAATCTTCACGGCTTTCTAAGTCTTCACATCTAGAAATATGACCAAGAAGCTCTAGGAAAATGCAGACTCTGGAGCTTGAGTAATGCCCTTCAATAACAGATACATTACCTTTTTGATCTTTAAATAAAACCAGTTTCCTTTTTCTGACTGGTTAGATAGCAAAGTAGAAATTAAGGACGACAGGGCTTACCTTTTCTTTGACTGCTTCCAGCTCTGTATCTGTAATTTTCCATGGAGTTTCTCTTTTTAATTTCTCAGCAGTTGTTAAATCTTTGCAGCTTTCATGGAGCCGATAGGGTTCGATCATCTCTTCAAAGACTTTCCAGCTGCAATTGGAATTGTAAAGGAGGCCTCACTGTGGGAAACCAACTCATTATTTCACAGATACTCCTGGTAGGACTGGCTCTGCTGGCTGTGGCATCAGGGCTGAATGTCATGCAAATCTTTTAAGGATTAGCTTTGCGGGGAGCTTATTGTGAGTAAAACCACGGATATAATACTCATTCCGTACCCATGGTAAAGAACTTAATGTATTCAAGACTTTCTTAGCCTACTAGGTATTAGGTCTTTGGCATCAGTGCACAAATACAGAGAATAACAATTGTTCTGCAATACATTTTCTGTGTAATGAAGAAAGGATTGTAATATATCTTATAAATGAGTTTCCCTTTCCTTTTATAGAGAGGGTGGGAGACAGTCATCAGTCAATGTGGGAGGTGCCTTGGGCCTACTGGGATGTGGAGAGGGCCGCCCTCAACCTTGATCCACAGGGCAGCTCTCGCGGGAGGCAGGAGGACAGGGAGGATGGCAAGGGTGCCCAATGGTTCTAGAACAACTTGGGTCTTGGTTGCACATGATGCTGTCCTCGTCGTGGTGTTTGATGCTGCTGTGTGCTGTGTATTATTCAGAGGTACGGCAAGGGGAAGAACAAAGATCAATAATGCTTTAACGCCTAAATATGTGAGTCCCCTTTAGAGCACTTACATCACTGGGGAGAAACATAAAAAGAGCATCTGAGAATACAGAATATTTAAACAGGTGTGAGGAGAGAAATCTCAGCCTCTTTTTACATAGGGATCTCACCAGGTTTATTTTAAAAACAAGAGCACAAAGTGAAGTCTGTGACCCGTGGGAGGAGCTGTCTTCAGCGTTCCACTGAATGATGCTCTCAAGTATGAATAATTTTCTGGGGTTTCATGTAATATAGCTTACTTATAATTTAGGAACTTTGAAAGGAATGATAATTAGAACCCATATGCCATTAGGTTAAGAAATTAAAATAGGAAGTGATGGGTTTAATTATCTCATCAGTTGGCCTGATGTAGGATTTGCAGACGGAAGTGCAGAGACTACAAAGGAGCAAAATTGCCCCTGCCAGGAAGTCTCTGCAGAGCGGGAAGGCATAGAACTGATGTGCCCGCTTATTCTTTCCACCACACAGTAATTTTATTTGCTATTACTTCCAACAGTGCTGTCCCTTTTGAGGGCTTCAGCAGTAGGTGTAAGGGCCAAGGTGCAGGCCTGGGACCTGGGCTCTTGGCCCAGTGCTCGCACTGCTGTGATCCCCAGCCTGGGTGACTTGGCCCATGGAAGGGGATGATAGCTACTCAGAGCTGTGCGTCAGAGTGATGATCTGAAGCCGGTGCTCTGTGGGAGAAGGGAGGCAAGCGCGTCACCAAACAGCCCCAGGTATGCAGTAAGCAATGCAGAGCTTCCCTGCTAACGCTCTGTGTGTGCCTCAGTGGGTCAGTGTGACAGTCCCTTTGCATGTCAGCCTGCTTCCTGCAGTACGAAAGTAGTATCTCCAGAAACAGAAGGAGGGGTGGAGGGGACTAGCTGTCTCCCTACAGCACCCACAGTAGGTTTTCCAGATGCAGCTGGGGTGGGAATGACCGTTCCTGTCACAGTGACTGCCCAGAACAGCACGGCCCTCAGGCAGGCTGCACACCTCATAGGTGTGCAGTGCTACCATGAGCCACAAGAATGGCTCAGTGGCTTAGGTTAGTGCTTCCTGAGTGAAACTCAGGACCTGGCCTCAGAGCCTGGGGCTGAGATGGCCTTTCCCTCCTGCTGGACATACACAAGAAGGCTGCATCCTGGTTGGTATTGGCAGTCATCTAGGTCAACTAGACTAAACCAGCCTGACGGATGATTTCCTAATGAAAGGTGGAGCAGAGAGACTGGAAGTGAATTAATCCTGGATTATAACATTTACCTTGCTGAGCAAGTTTAGCACCAAACCAAGCTCTGGCTAGTTAGGTTTTTTTTGTCTTGTTTTTGTTTGGGGATTTTGAGACAGGGTCTCCTTATGTAGTTCAGGCAGGCCTTGAACTCCCTGTGATCCTCCTGCTTCAGCATTCCATAGGCTGGGATTACAAGCATGGGCCACCACACCCAGCTAGGCTCCTTGTTTAGCTATGCATGACAGTAAATTTCTATCACTTAAATCACAATGATGTTTTCCTTTTCTTGCAGTTAAAACCTGCTCAGTGGCACCAGAGGCTCTGATGAGGCCACGTCTGTCCACACCTCTTCTGTGAACCTGGCAGCTTGCATTTCCTTTTATTTGTGCATCCTCAGTTCACTGCGAGCTGGGCACAGCATTTCCCATTCTCCCAGCCTGGGGACCCTCAGGTAGCTCAAGATATTGATTTCAATTCTCATTAGATCTAATTCTCTTAGAAGTACTTTTCAATTGACTCTGTGTCAGGTAGTATAGATTATTACATTTAAATAAGAATTCACATTTTTGTGAATTATCATAGACTCTCCTTTCCTTTTCCTTTCTCTCATAAAAAAAGTTCAGATTTTTTTAGTTGCATACAGGATTCTTCCTGGTCCACGTAAGATTTCTTCTCCCAAAGTAATTTTTGTGACCACTCCAGTATTTTTAAACACAGTTGTCTAGTTGATGTCTTCTGGTTTCTCTTTGATTTCCATATACAGATTGTTGGTGGTGTTTTTTTTTTTTTTTTTTTTCTCTTGACCTACAGACTTTTAATTTAGCACAACAATGGAACTTAACCATAGGAGCTGTGGCTCCCTTATTTTCTAATCATCTTTTTTCCTGTTCTCCCTTCCATCCTTACCCTCCGATAGATACTTACAGATTCCATTACTGTGACAATAAGCCTACTGGTGTTTCCGGGACAGTTAGAAGGTTTACAAAAGCCAGGCTAAGGACATTGAAGGGCTGTTTCCACAGTGGGGTATCGTCTGACAGCCAGGAAGGAGCAGTGATCAGGAGAGGGTCGTTACTGGAAGACTGGGGGCTGCCTTGCACGGGGGAGAAACGGAGTCAGGGCTGCATCAGCCTGCCTAGAAGAAGAGTTCTCCGTCTCATCTTGCACACAGGAGGAGAGCCCATGCGTGAATTCAGGATGTATCCTGTGTTTTAAAATAGGGATCCTCTTACATATTTTGGGGCAGCTATTTCCAGCACCAGGTAAGTGCCTGTCTTTTTTTTTTTTTTTTTTTTTAAGAGGAAAAAGAGAAAAACACAAAACAAAACAAAGCAGTGTAAGGTTACATATAATACAGAACTACAAAAAAAAGCATAACAGTAAGAAATCACCTGTTAATATCATAACAGTAGATTACATAATATCATAACATAATAGATTACATATTAACAGGTGATTTCTTACTGTTATGCTTTTTTTTGTAGTTCTGTATTATATGTAACCTTACACTGCTTTGTTTTGTTTTGGAGGAATGGATAAAAAAGTTGTGGTATTTCTATACAATGGAATATTATTCAGCTATAAAGAAGGATCACATTGAGATATTTATCAATAAATGGGCGCAGCTTGAGACCATACTCATAAGTGAAATAAATCAATCTCGCATGTATGAATACCGAATAGTTTCCCTAATGTAAGTAATGATTCAAATATATGAAAATATGTGGCAATCATGATTCCCCATTATGTGGCCTTGAAGCCTTATAAAATTTTCACTTATTAATTAGAAAGGCTTTATTCCGGGCTTCTTGATATGGAAATATTTGAAGCTATAGTATATGAAGTTTTATCCAAATATCTCAAGGAAAAAGACAGACACTATGGTAACTATTATTCTTTAAAAAAATTATTTAGTTATTTCTTATGTTTATTTTAATTAAGGGAAAAATTTAAAAAATTAGGATATATAATAGTAACTCTTTTCGATTTCCTATTAACTTGTTTTGAAGTCCTGTAATGCTCCCACGATCTTGTAAGTGCCTGTCTTGCAGACTACTTACTAATGGTATCCCCTATGTATGGCAGAAGCTGCGGAGCGCGGGACAGCTCTCTGGCGCTCCCTTCTGGTGGATGACCTTTCTCCAATCGGCAGTTTGCTGCAAGGGTTTTTATTCGGTAAGAATGGGTTTAGTGAGACCTGCATCCTCCTTGTGCACGACCTTGACAGAGCGGAAAGGAAACGTCCGAAACGTTGAAAACTAATTCATGTGCTTCTCTTCCTTACAGAGGGAGAAACATCCAATATAAAGGGTGCCTGAAATCAAATTTAGATGGCGACACAGAAGCGAAAATGCTTCATTTCTTCCTACCGCCCTCCGTTCTGTTCCCTAAGAAGGGAACACCGCGGAACAAAGGTCAGGGTAGCAAGACGAAGTGCGTCCACGTGAGGACAGGTGTGCAAAGAATGAGCGGGCCAGCAGGAGTCCTGTCTCAACACGCGCAGTAAGGGACACACAGAAAGGACTGTGTGTGGTGTGGTCACCATGCAGATGGACAGAGAAGGGTAAGAAAGTAAGAGAAAAAATGGACTCAGGCAGAGGAAACCGATTGATGGGAAGAGCCAGAGAAGCACAGGAACAAATCGATTTGGATGCAACAGGAAATGTGATTCTAGACTGCGCCCAACTGGGGACATTTTGCAGTCTTTGATTGCAAGTTTACGTATTCAATTTAATGTGCAATGGCCTATGATTCCCAGGAAATCTTTTGTGCCCCTTTGGGCTCACTTGCAGACCTCTAACTTATAAATTGTTTCCAGATATTTCTGTTCTGGGCTGAACATTCGTGTTTCTTGAAGCTCTGGTTCCCACCACAATGGGGCTGGAGGCAGCCTTTCGGAGCATCTCGGGTGAGGGTATCAGGAGGGTGGGACCTGAGGGAGAGGCTTAGGGGCCAAGAAGAGCAAGACCGGAATTCCTTCTGTCCTCACCAGGGAAAAAGCAGCCTTTTGTGAACCAGAATGGCCTGGGCCAGCACTTCACCTTGGGTTTTGCAGGTTCTTACTGTGAGAGGTTAATGGCTGTTGTCTATGTCACCTAGGCTGCAGTGTTTCATCGCAGCAGCCTGAGCTCACTCAGATGATCGTGGATACCAAGGGTTAAGTCGATGCCGTGTTTTGAAGATATTTAAATGATTGGTTCAATTTTGTCATTTTTAAAAAATTGTGGAACCAATATATTTTTTCCTAGGATTTAGGCAGCTTTATATCCTCCCCCTCCAGTCCTTAGGCTGTAAGCCTGGAACACTTAATGTCTAAAAGCCAAAGTGGCTCTGGAGGGTCAGTGCCTGGGGACACAGTTGTTCTTACAGCTTCTCTACCAGCGTTTCCTGTCTGGGGTGCCCCACCCACCTGTAACTTAGGTAAGGAAGCACCTTGGCTGCCCAGGTCACAAAATGTCAGAGACACCAGGAACCCGAAGGACAGTTCTGAGCTGCTCACTGGCCTGTTCTGACATATCTTGCTTTTGGGCTCATTTTCATCACAATATCTTTCTCCCAGCATTCTGGGAGGCTGAGGATCACATTTGAATCCTCTCTGGGCAAGTTAGCAGTTTAGTAAGAGAACAGTGGCTCAAAATTAAACTAACAAAGAAAAACACAAGAGCTAGGGACGTAGCTCAGTGGTTAGAGCCCTCCCCCACCCACCCCCAGTGGCACACACGCACACATGTGCACACACACACACACTCGTTGCTCCCCGTTCCAATGTGCTAGACAGCTGTGTCACGAGTATTTGACTGCCTTTCTTTTCCTACCGCATCAGGATGTCGCTTAAGGAGACCCCTAACCCTTTGCCCTTGGGTCATCAACAGCCGTGAGCCTGCCCTGTACTGCGCTGGCTCCGGGTTCACCGGTTCCTACCTCTCTTTGTTGGGCTTCACGTTGATATCACCGATGACATGGATGTCTGCAAACTTTATCCTAAATTTGCTCAGAAGAGAAGCCATGCTGAAAATATAAGAGAAAAAACACTTCATTGCTGTGTATTTAACTAATCTTTTCAGTCAAAGTGTGTGTGTGTGTGTGTGTGTGTGTGTGTGTGTGTGTAAGAAGCAGCCCCAGCGTATTTCAGTGTTGTGTCTGGGCAGAGGCCTCTGGGTTTAGATTTCATCTCTGCAGTGCGTGCGGGACAAGCTCGGTGCCCCACGCTGTTTGCTGAAGGCCGAAGAAGGCTCCAGGAGACACCGGAGAAGAGAATCCACTCTGCATCCATCTCTGGGGAAGCGAAGGCAACGCTGGTCACACACCCTTGTTATGCAAAAGCCTGTGAGTCTTCACACTTATTGACTGTTATCTTCCTGATAATTTTTAGAGTAATCAATAAACCACTGACAAAATCATAATTCTCATGTATTACATACTTGTGCATGAGAAGCATTTCCCTGAATTTGGGTATAATGTCACAGTTGTAGAAATGTAGGGACAGTGCCAAGAGCTCCCAAATACACAGACTGCTTACATTTGTCCAGTATGTCATTCTCTATGTCTAGCTGCCCACCTATCCAATATTTTAAAATATTTATATAAACCGGGTGCCTTTGATGCCTTAGTATTTTAGTGAGCAGTTCCTAACAATAAGGATATTCTCTTATATAAAGACTACAATTTTTTAGGGCTTTTTATTTTGAGACAGGGTCTTGCTATGCAGTTCAGGCTGTTCTTGAACTCACTATGTAGCCCAGGCTGGCCTTGAATCTCGCTGTGATCCTCCTGCCTCAGCCTCCTGAGTGCTGGGGTTACAGGCGTGTGCCACCAAGCCTAGCAAAGAGTACAGTTTTTGAAAGCAAAAGTTTTAACATTGGTGACATGCTATCATCTCATCTTCAAACCATCTTCCAATTTCATCAATTTTCTCAGGAAGTTACTGGAGTTTGTAAGAAATACAAATTAGTATAGGTATCATGTTAGTTTCTATTTTAACATGATTCTCTTTAGAGGAATTAAAAATGTATAATAATAATACATGAGAATTATAGTGTTTTAATTGAAAATAAATATATGGATATCTTCATATACTCACTAATAGTGTGTGTGTGTGTATCACAATGACATCCTCTTAAGAGCAAAAAGAAAATATGAAAAACACATGAATAAAAATCTTGCCATTATTTTGTGATTTCTGGAAGTGCCTAAGCTCAGGGTGGCACCCGGTCATGCAGGACCAAGGGTTACTAGGGGTCCCTGGTTACCATCAGAGGCCTCAAATGTGCCATTTTGGTAAACTTGTTCTCTGAGCAAAGTAATGTAACATGTACAGAGTTCTGGGTTTTTAGTGATGAGCGTTCTGGGCAATCCCCCATTTAAAATTTTCAATCTATACCTATGAAGCTGGGGCCACAGATCTGTTCTGTGGTGGCCCAGAGCCCCTCGGCTCCTTAGTGACAGGTGTGGGCTTTGGTTTGGTTCTCTTTCATGCGAGCTATGCTGAGACTGCCGGGTTCTCCCAGGAGAGACGCTCACACAGATTTTTCTGGATCCCCCTCTCGGCTGCTCTTACTGGTCAGAGCAGTGATGGATATTACACAAGAGCCCAAATTCTCTTGGCAAGCATTTGAGGCCGGGGTTAAGAGGGCTGGCAGACAGGGATTTAAAAAATTATGCAAATAATACATGGGCCAGAAAACCAAGTGAGCATGAAGTGCATCGTGATGGCTTTGTGCCTTAAATCTATTGTGCACTGAAGACACTCAGGGTCTTACGGTCACAACATGCAAATGACCAACATCTGAAATGACGAACATGCCAAGATAAACTTCTTACGTGATTTTTTCTTCTTCAATGCGGTTGACCTTTCCTCCCACATAGATCCGTAATTTACAATCTTTCCACTTTTTTCTAAGAGTCAAGATATAGGGGATAAGGAGTGTCAACCCTGAAACAAAGAGGAAATTAAGGGAGAAAAGATGAGTGTCTCTCACTGAAAGAAAAATGTGAAGTTTATCTTTTTACGCATTCCTAGCTCTTAAATAAATTACAACCTTTGAGAAGTCAAAGTGTTATTCTTTAACTGATACTGTTTTCATATACTTTGTTCAATTTTTCAAAATACAAATTCTGCTCCCTACTGTGCACTCTGGAATGTTCTGGAATATTCTGGAAGGCTTTTTTTTTTCTTTTTTTACCTCCATCATCAAACAGCCACCAGACATCAATGGTTCCTTTTCCTTGTTTCTTTTTGAACTGAGTGCTGGCTTCCACCAGTTTCTGGTTGAACTCCCCCACATGCATGGACTGGATGGTATTAATGCTGCTCTCTGAAATGCAAGAGAAAGCCATGGATCACTTTGCCTTTAAAATCTAGAAATAAAGTAACTTTCCAATAAACTTAATGATGAAAACATAGGAGAGGTCACGAATTCATGCTTTTTTATATCTGTTGATAAATAGCTCTATTCTCCAAGAGCAGAGATAAAGGATGGGTCCCACAATAATTTAGACCCCCTTTGGTCATTAAATAAAACTTTGGTATTGGCTCTATGGTTGTAATTTTTGTAATAAAGCAGCGGATTACTTTCATATCCTTACTGTCCCAGAGTGGAATTATTATTGAAGCATAACAGATCTAACTCATTTGATACCCCAACTCTCCTAAATCTCAGGTATACAGCAAATTAAGTAATACTTTCATGTTTACTTGGGAATAGAAACTGTGAGCGATTTGGCTTTCTGGAGATAAGCAAAAGGATCAGAAATAGTCTTTGTGGGAGAATTTATTCTGGGAGCACTGTTTGGGTGGGATTTGCATGAAGGTCAATTCTATGTGCATCTGACACTGGGAATGTGAGGCTGGGTTCCATAGCTGGCTTAGGTCGTGATTCTTTTACTTTCTTTTCAAGGAAAAGTTCTGGGAAGCCAAGGTACAGCCACTTGGTAAAGGGATCTGAACCTTTGTGACTGAGATGGAAAAAGCCAGGAGGCATAAAAAGCACGAACCCACTTGCTTGAGTTATAATCAAGGGTGCATATAAAACACTTACAGTGATTGTTTAAAAATAAGCTTTCCATTCTAAGGTGGACACAGTGTGAGTGTTGAGCGGAAGCCGTGTTCCTGCTTGTTGGAAGGGTTTCCTCGCCACCCTGTGTGTCTTTCTTCTCACTTCCTTGCCTGTGAAAGTTGCGCCTCCACCTCTCCATTTCAAAGAGGCGGGGTTGGCGTGGTGATCTCTGTGGCACCGACGACAGCCTCTCTGATCTGGCAGCTCCTGAAGACCATTTGCTCTGGCTTCCTCTCTCTCTGCGGGGGTGGAGCCTTTCAGCTCTGAGGCAATGACCTCATATTGTTTCTGAGCTGAGCCCCAGGAAAGTACCTTTATTTGCAGAATGGATCAAACTGCCCTCCCTGGCATGCCATGCAAAGAATGTCGAGGAGCTATGGTGAGTTCCTGGAGATGGGTCGGGGCTCTGGCTTGATCCAGAACCAGAAGCACAGTTGCCACCCAAGGCCCCCAGTAGTGAGTGGCCCCACTTTAGGGCTCTGTTTAAACTGCCAGGGCTGAAAGTGGTGCGTGATATTATGATTTTACTTTCCTGAACATGGAGATGGGTCAACCTTCAGAGGAGTCCCTTTTTTACCAAAACAAGTATAGCAATGCAGAAACAGTCTCCCAGAATAAGTAACATGGCCTGCGTTCATTAAAAAGGACATTGAAACTCCCCTCTCCCAGCTAGAAAGAGGATGCAATCAGGCTATTGTATGGCTAACTACTACATCTTTATGGATAATTAGCTTTTGCCACTATAAACCAAATAATCAGAAAGGAAGGAAGGTATCTAAAGAAGTTTTATTCTAGTGTTTGCACTTGAAAGTCCTGATAAAACTTGAGTTTCAAACACTATTTTTGTGGAAAGTGTTATTTTTTAGTGAGTAGTAAGAGAAAGTGTTCCCACAGCCCGTGGAATATTCCAGGCACCCGAGAGTAACTCTAATATTCCAAGGGAGATTATACTTGCATTTCTCATCATTTCTCTGTAAATATCTCAGACTGTCACATGACAGGTGAACGGTAAGGCCTGGCCTGGAGGACACACAAACAGAGCCAAACCATCAACATGATAGGAAATGGCCTCTTTAAAAGACTGTGGGCTGTTAGCCTCCGCCAGCAGCCTCTAAGTCTCAACCTAAATCCTTCTGTTTCACATGGAGACCCTTGCGGAGAAATAACCTTGCCCCACCTCACACCAGCACCTGACTACAGTCACTTTAAGGTATCTGGGCAATAAAAAAGAAGAAAAAAAAAAAGCTCGCGAATGTTCTGATTTTCTACCAGCAGAGGTCACTGCAGACCGCATTAAAAATCTGCAGTTTTTTTTTTTTTTTTTGAAAAGGCAATTTTCAAAAATCAGTCAGTCGATTGGATGTTTGAATCATCTGTTTATAAAATTTGTAACAGCTCTCTCATCCTCTGGCCCTCCGTTCCTGAATATGTTTCACACATTCGGAAATAAGTTTACTATTCAAGCTAAAATCCAGATAATAATGAGTACTCCTTGTGATAGATTCTGCATGCTTTTGTTGAAGTTAGGGTTCAGGCTGGATGCCCTCCTGTTATGCAAGTCAATTTGAGGTCCTGAGCAGGGTAAGGTGGGTGTGGATAAAACAGTTTGAGTATTGGTCCTTAAATTCCTATCCCCTTCACATCTCAACTAAAGCATTTCTATTTTAAGGCACTCACTGTATTGAGGTACTATGTTGTTGAAACACAAGGTGATGCTTAAATTTTAAAAAGCTGTTATAGTAAAGGACATATTGCTGTGAATTCCCCTCAAAATGCTCCCCTTTGCTGCAAACACAGTTACCCATCATTACTGCCACCGTCTGGAGATCCTTTCCGAGCATCTTTACGAAGTACAATCAAAACCATTGTGACTGCTGCTTCTGAGTGTCATCCAAAAGAAAGGCAGCCTGTGGGGACATCCTGCAGGGTCCTCACCCCCCTAATTACCACATCTGGCACCGTGTGACTCCTGACTCTCCCCCAAAGTCAGAGCGACTGTGAGAGGGAAACTTTTTGAATCATTTTAGGACATGGAGGCAGCTGTGACAGTGCAACTGAAGATCCTCAGGAAAGAACACTCCAGAGCTGCTGCAGAAAGCGGCGAGAACATGGGATGAGCGTGCCTGACGCCGGGGGAGGAAGCCAAGGGGCATTAATGACCATGTGTCTTTTCCTGTAATACATTTTTAAGACTTTAAATGTTTCTTGCAGTTTCTGATCATATATTATATATATATATATATATATATATATATATATATACCTCCCAACCAAATGTTACTATTTATCTTATTTCATTTTATTCTATGATGTCACAATTTTGAAATGATGTTTTTCAGCAAGCTGGTTCAAAGTAACAATGGTGATGGATGACAGTGGCTGCCACCTTTTACCCGGGTCATTTTCTTGAAAGCAATCCTTCAGTTCCTTCCTCCACTCAAGACCCCAATATCTTGGATGCTGACTTCCGATTTCCTAGAGGCGGCTCATACTGTGACTCACCTGCAAATCTATGCCCTTGTACACTTTTCGGAGGACTCACCTTTTTTAGAAGGTGCCCTGGTGATGTGCAACTTGCCGGCTTTTTTAAACAAGCCTCGGATGCCCCCACTCCCTTCCTCACATTCGCTGTCTTTGATGGTGGCTTCCAGCGCCAGCCTCTCCTGCTCCAGCCTCTGGAGTTCATCTGGAGGAAGCAGACAAGACCAACCACTTAGCCTTGTGGACCCCCGTTCCCAGTGGGATGATCTATCAACGAGGTCAGTGTTTAAAATGGTGCCCCTGAGCCAGGCGTGGTGGTGCACGCCTGTAATCCCAGCAGTCGGGAGGCTGACACAGGAAACGTGAATGCAAGTTCCAGACCAGCCTGGGCTACAAAGCGAGCACAAGGCCAGCCTGAACTGTACAGCAAGACTCTGTCTCAAATAAAAGACAGTAAGTCCATAAATAAATTAATCAAATAAAATGGTGCCTGTGCAATACAATGATTATTGATACTCAATGTGGTTTTCTTTCTGAATGATTTTTTAAAAACAGTAACACATTTCAGTACATTGTATTCAGAAAATAATAACTTCCACAAAAGTAGCTGCACCTGTGATGTTATAATGGCTATGAACACAGGGCTTTGATTTGTGAGGGCAACAGAGGCCATGAAAGGCCTTCCTCGTTCACTTGCACCTCAAACAAACAAGCAAATAAACAACCCGAGCTCCCTCGTATGCTGTAAGTTACTGATGTGCAGACCTAAGTCACCGGCTTGGATGTTTTACAACTGGAAGCAACAAGACCACAAACACGCACGTAGTTTATGGCAGGCACACGGCAGTGCCTCCTGAATGGAGATGTGAAGGTAGAGAGCAAGAATGAAGTGAAGAGAACCGAATCTGGTAGCAGTCTTCTCTGAGCTCTGAGTACAGGCTGTGGTGAGAAACATATCCGACACCAATAGTTTCTGTCCCACGAAATGCTCGGTGCAACTGAAGCACTAAAAGCTGAGATTGTGTGAATTGCTAACAAGGCTCTCAGATCACAGCCGGGCTGTGCAAAACTTCTGGCCCCACATGTGTATCTATCGCCTGAGATTTGCTATCAGGACTAGAAGCCTTTTAAAAACCTTTTTTGGATTCTGATTATGATGAAAAATTCCTAGCTGCTACATAATACGTCAAACCACTCTTTGATCTCACCCCACCCTGGGTCAGGGCAAATTGGATGTTTTAAGCAGTCCCACAACAGTGTCCCAGCTGAGGAGCCTTTTGCTGACCCTGGGCTAGCAGAAAACCTAGCTTCCGTGTTACAGGACACTGACCAGGCTGCTGGAAAAGCCAACCGCGGAGCCCACCACCTTATCTATCTGTGCAGTGAGGCTATACATGCTCTAGATTTATCAGTTATTACTAACTAAATCTGTCAGGTCAGGCCCATCTCTGGACAATGCTGTTATTCAGCTACTCAGAATCATCTGGCTCCTGTCCAGGTCTTAGAAATTAATCTTTTGCCAGTGGCATGAGATTTAAGGTCAAGTCACCCATGTGACTTCCCCAAAGCTTCAAAGACTTCCAAGAATAGCAGCTACAGAAAATCGGAGAAATCAGGCAGGTCCTGTTCAAGCCCAGATAGAGGTGCTTCTCTCTGACATGGAAAGGTGGGGACAAGCCATGGGGCCATGACACTCATGATGTAACTGGTGGAAATGAGCTTGCACTGCGAGTTGAGTATTTGCAGAAACCCCGGTGGTTCACAGTTACTGTGCATTGCCTGCTCTTGGGTGCAGGGAATGTGCTGGACTTTATTCCTCCCCAAACAGCTCTGAGGTCCTTGTTTTGATTATAGGTGAAGCAACGGAGACTCACAAAGGTTAAGTAACCCATCTGATAGCACCTCATGAATCACAGGGCTCAAATGCAAAGACATCTGCTTGACTTTGAGTCCCTGATGCTTCTGACCATGAAGACCTCCCTGTGGTTCACTGCTAGGGTCACACAGTTGTTCTGTTAACCTCCAACTCTTCACCACTGGACAGATTTGCAGGCGCCAAGTGTAATGTCAAGAGCATCATGGCAGCCCAGGAAGATGCCTTCGCAATGGGTGGGCTGTGAAGGGTATGGGTGGAACAGGGAGGCCGCCCCAAGGTGCTAGCCAGACTTTGTGGTCTTGGTCCCTAGCTGCTAGCCAGCCTCTCGGGGGTGTGGGAGGCCAGTTGGGGGTGACCTCTTTGCAAACCTTGCGAAGTATTTATTTGTGAGCTCTCGAGGTGGGGGAAGGGAGGGCAGGCTGGGTTTCCCAGGGGACTGTCCAGAGGAGGAGGAGGCTCTTCTCTTCCTTTTTCTGGCAGGCCCTGGTCTAGCCTGTGATTAACCACTAATTGCCATGTTCTTTGTTCTGTAGTTCAGACAAAGAAGGAGCGAAGATAAATCCTCTTTTGTGGGCAAGTCAGCTGGCTGGGCAGACTGGGAACCATGCCGGCAGCTTGCTGGAAGGTAAGTGCACACACAGCCCCGCTGCGGAGTTTCAGATCCAGCAATTCCCTCCCTCAAAGACCATAGCAACAGAGGCGGACAGAGTCTACTCTAAGGGCTAAAATTCACTCTTTTGTCTTTTTGTGCTATCTTAGATTTTCAGTCCCGCACAGTGGTGAGATTCTCACTCGCCTGGTGAACTTGCAAGTTCTCAGTAGAGTTAATTCTTCATTACTCACTTTGTAGGTGATGGAAGGCCCCCTTAGCACACGACCTTTTTATAACCCCTGCGCTACGGGAAGTGGTGCTCTGATGGGCTTGGTTCTGTGTTTTTCTATCTGGTGTACTGCGTGCCTCTGTTTGCATGGAGACTCTGACAAAATGTTTCTTTCAACAGGAATATTGGCCAGCTGACTTGCAAAAGTATACCATTAGTCACATAGGGGAGAAGCCAAGGGAGTGTGAATGGATAGATGGAGATTGATTTTCACTAAGCTGACAAGGGTGATTCATTCCATCGCTGTAACCACCATCAACACCACCGTTCCTATGAGACCTCCAGTGCCAGTGACGGCAGAGACCTCTCCACGCAGAGTCTCATTTGATCCTGGTCCTGGGGTACAGGCTGAGCTGGCATCACCTCATTTCTCTGAAAAGGGAACTTAGGCTCTGAAAGTTCCAGTAATCACTCCAAGGCCACACAGCCAATGACACAAGCCTGCTGCGTTTCACCGTCTTTGGGGATACGCCCTAAGTATCTGCCTGCTTCTCTTGTCAAGATTTTAAGAGAATCCCTGAGGTCATGATGGTGGGAGAGAAAGTGGAACCCTCCAGCCTCTCTCTGCTGAGAGTGGGTTTCTGACTGTTTTCCTCGTATCTACCCTGAACAACTCTCATCAACAACCGAGTCCTGGGCTGCAGCTCCAAGCAGGTGCCAAAACCGCTCCAAACGGCAGCTACCATTCTCGAACCCTTTATAAATTGAATGCATGCTGACCAGTTGGAGTGCCTATGTTTTGAAATTCAATTTAGCTGTCAAAATGGTCTCAACTGTTCTATTATCAGTCTTATGTTTCTTTCAAAATGATGTCTTTCTGAAATAGGCAGCGACCTCTGCATCACCATCTGCTTTGAATCCGAGCGACAGAGTGCAGCCAATTATCTGGGAGCAGAAGCGACAGCATAGAAGCCCACTAGGGAATCATGCCCCTCCCCTTGTCTGCCAACCCTTTGCTTTATTAATTATTAAATTATGATTCTTTCCTTGGTCAATCAACTTAAAGCCATAAATGCTCTTCTCAATCAATGTGCTAAGCCCTGGGTAAAACCCAGGTGAATTGCAAGCAGGAAGGGACCCTGCAGTGGGTGCCTTGCAATCAAGTAATTATTCACCGCTCCGCCATCTGTCTTTATTCTGCTGAGACACTCGATCAGACACAACAGTATCACCGCGCTCTCAGACGGCTGTAAATCATGCAGTACTTACATGCCATGCTTGACCACAATATATTATAAATCACATTTCCTCATTTTATTTCTACCAGTATGATTTGGATTCTTTCTGTAGTTGGCAAACTTGCAAAATACCCCTGGAAAGTGAATAATGTGAAACACTGCATTGTGTGTGTGTGTGTGTGTGTGTGTGTGTGTGTGTGTGTGTGTGTATGTGTAGTGTAGTATAGTGTCAGGCAATAAATTAATCAAGAAACACTGTCAGTCATTAATATTGGGTGAGTTGCTGCAGTGCCTAAGTTAGAATGCTCTGAGCATCGATCTCATTTATGCAAAAAGTTATTCTCATATAAGCCAGTGACACAATATAGAAATAATAGCCATTAGCTGGTAAATTACCTATAAAGCTGACTTCGATTCGCTGCTTTATTAACTACGGTATACGGGCACTCTGAATTGCTAATATTTCCTTTAAATTATAATCTGTGATGACACTATGGTGCTGTGTTGGAACAGCTATGATGATAATCATTAACATAGTATAATGCAATACTTAAGATTTATCAGGCTCTTATTAAGCTCTATATTACAGTATAATATAATGAAATGCAAGCTTGTTTCTTCCAATTCAAAATCTAATATGAGGTTTGTGTCATAAATTATATAAACTTCAAAATAATGCATAGAACTGCAGCATAAAGTTAATTTCTGTCATTATGTTGTTGTTTAATATATGTTCTTCATGTATTTGCATAGCGTTTTTTGTTTGTTTATCCTAGATACTTGGTGCTTATAATTATTTCATTAGCACCCCACTGTATTTTTCCTTTCCTGACTAAGAAATAGAAATATTTCAAACATCAAAGTTGATTTAAATAGGCTACATCTCTCGGGAAATTAAAAGCGGATGCAGTTCACTGCCAGGGTTCTTTGAGAGTTTCTACCGAATGTAGTTACCGCATAACTTTACAGGAATAAATTAATGGTCCATTTTGGTGGATGCAGCAGTGAGGGGTGGAGACACTACTTTTTAGCTACATCATGTCTATCAACTCCCAGAAATCAGCATAATACATAATCAAGAGTGTGACATAACACACATTGTATTTTTCATTCTCATTTTTCGGGTGGAAAAATACTATAAGACAAAAGCCAGAAAAATCTACAATGAGACCGCTAAAGGTGGCAGTGGCTCAGGTCATAGGATTAGGTTCTGGTGACCACCCTCAAAGGTGGCCCATCTCATCACAGGCAGGTAGTGCTAAGCTGGGTGTTTGACGGTGTACTGTTACACAGCTTTGCCCCAGGCCCAAATCTCAGATTTTACCTCTCGTGTGAGTCACTGTCTTTTTGATCTCTCCTTTTCAAAGGTAAGCAAGTGGCTTCCAACAGATGAAGGTTTGACTCTCACCTCTGCCCGTCACTACCTTTCTGAATCTTGGGCAAGCCCAGTTTTATCAGCTGTAAGCTGGGGGCCATGGTACTTTCCTCCTAGAGTAGCTAGTGTGATGTTATGTGTGAACCCAAAGTGTAACACGTGACACATAATGAGGACTTGAAACTGTTAGCTATTATTGCTATAAATGAATTAAATTCTACCCAAAAGAAATAGAAATTAATCATGGTCATGGAGAGGCAAGGAGTGTGTCTAATCTGGAGATATAAAAGATCTGTGTAAGAGGAAAGGGCACAAAATGTGAGGTTGAATGCACCGGAAGACACTATTTTCCCAGGATGAATCCTGCACTCAACTTTACACCTAATAGTGCTTTGTTGTTCTCGTCAGTCCAAGGCACCAGCAGATACAGTTCTATTCTGGGGCCTCTCTCCACGGCTTGAAGGTGACTGCTTTCTCACGGAGTCCTCACATGGTAGCCCCAGGCCTGTGTCCTAATCTCTTTTTATAAGGACACTAGGGTTATTGGATTAGGATCTTTCATACAGCCCTGTTTACACTCATGACTTCTTTAAAGACCCTATCTCCAAACACATCCCACTTTCTGAGATATCAAACTGTAGTTTCACATAGGAATTTGGTGAGACATGGAGAAGACAGTTTATCCAGTAAGCCTAAATATATACCGCAACCTCAGAGTCCTCCCTTAAGACTAGGACAATCATTGCCTATTGGACACCACCATACAGTTTCCCACAGGAGACTGTGTGACACCAAGTCAGGCTTCTCCTTGTTAAACACACTCTTCCTGCTGCATTTTCCTGCTCTGTGGGTAGCACTCCTGTTTGGTTAGTGTTATGGTTCATGTCTGGATGCCCCCCAAAGCCTTCTATAGTCATGGGGGCAGGCTTCTAGAATTTGTGATTGATTCACGGGCCAATGCTGGGATTATGGGTGTGAGTGCTATACCTGTCCTAGGGATAGTAGCCTACATACAATATAAGGAGCAGAAAGAGTCTTCTCTCCTCCCCTTTTGCTTTTGTTGCTTTTGCTGTTTTCTCCTGCCATGAACTGTTGCCCTGGTGTCATGCTGCCTTGGCTTGGAGCTAGCTGATTGTGGACTGAAACTTCCACACACTGTGAGCAAAATAAACCTTTCTTTCCTTCATTTTGAGTGTTGGGTATTTTGTCCCAGCAAAGAAAGTAACTAACACAGCACAAGATTTTTTTGCTCCCATATCTTCTGTATGTAAAGAACAAGCCCCATTAAGTCAGTCAACCTCCCAGTACTGCATTGTGTACCTCTGAAATATGTCTCAATTCTGTCCTTTACTTTCTATTCCTGCAGAGGCATCCCTGGATTAAACTGTTCCCATTTCTTGCTATGACAATTGCAGAAATCCTTTGGATTTGTCCCTGTGTGTCCATCCTGGTCCTCTTTGAGTATTGCCCTACATAACTGAAAGAGTTCGACCACATTACTCCCCCACCTCAATCTCTTGGATGGTCCTTATTATCTACAGAATAGGATCCACAACTTTTCATGGGGCGAATGAAGCCTGTAAAGTCAGGGCCATCCTTATTTTGCTACTATTTCCTTCATGTTGTTTTGATTCAGTGACAGCCATCTGCTTCTAGTGGCCCAGATACCCCATTCCTCCACACATAGATGTCCCAACCTTTGCAAATGTTTTCCTCTTTGCTACCAATGCTGCTCCTTACCAACTTTTTATTTTTCTCTCCCTCAGCATTGCCTAGTTAGTTCCTCATCTACCAACTCACAAGTTTTATATCCCTTGGGAAGCCTTTTGGAGGTTGGCTGCCCCTTTTCCTTTCCCATTATACCTTATTTATACCTATTATCATACTGATAATACAACGGTTCCCCTTACTCAGCTGAGTCCCTTGAGGGTACAGACCAAGACTATTAATCTTATTCAGCCAAGCATCTTCACCCACACTACACCTGCTACATAATAAGTACAGCAAAATGCCCCTTCATCGTGGTGTCATGTCCTCAACAAACTGCCGTGAAGGTCACCTGAAGAGATGGATTCATGTCCTGTCTTAATCTTTCAGTGGCCCTTTAGACACGTTCTTCACTTCATTCACAAAGAGGGTACATTCAAACTCTGAGACTAAGTACACAAATTCTCTACAGCGAAAAAAACCCAGAGCCACTAATCTGCATTAGTGTTTCTGCCCCTGACTTAGATTAGTGATCACAGCACGGCGCAGTCAGGCTGATTTCCATGCCAGCTACAAACCAGTTCACAGACTCTTCAAAGCAAAATACATGTTTTTCTGGGAAAGAATTAATCTTCATTTTCTGAAGCATCTTGCAGAAATTAATTTGGCAGGCTATTTTTACTGAAAGTATTTATTTTCCTTGATGCTGGTTTTGTGGTTTTGTGATAAGAAAAAATAACTGATGAATATCCAGAGTTACTCTACGATTCTTGTTAGCAGGGCAGAGGAAGCTTGTGCTAGAAATGAGAAAATATTGGGAGAAATGTACGTACTAGGTCAGCATGGAAAGTTAGACTCCCTGGTCAAGGGGTTTTGTTTGTGTCATTTACTTACCCTAGCCACCTAGAAGAATGTCACGCATATAATAGGTACTCAATAAATATTTGTTGACTGAATAAATAAAGTACATACCTTGTACCTGGAGAACCTGAGAGATGTCAAACCCCTGGCTGATCCTGACAATGACCACGCCAATCTCAAAGTCAAAGGCATCACTGAAAAGGGAAACAAGGTCGTTATTGCTTCAAATGGCTCTGTTCCTCCTTGCACTTCAGGTGAATGTTCAACTTGGTTTATGACTGTTGATGTCATGAGACCATTAAAATTCACTTTGGAATACAGCCAAAAGCTGATGCATTTTCCGTGTGTTTATTCTTCTTTTATACCTTAAAATTACATTCTGGGTAGAAGTAACTAAATCATTTACTCTGTAGTCAATTTGTTCAAATAATACCACTTGCTAAAATTTTGATGAAGAGCTTGTGACATTCTTTTGGAATAACTGAATCTTTTATAAAGTGAGCAAAACCATCGTGGATACATTTATGACAGAGCATTTTACTGGCTGCAAGGATCCTTTAAAGAACAAGCCCCTGTCCCTGCATGAGGCCGGCTCCTCCTGCAGCATCCCCAACACCAAGTTCACAGCACCGTATGTCTCCACTTCCTCCAATTGTGGAAGGGACCTCTGTCTCCAACCGTGGACAGGTTGCCTGGGGCAATGCTTTTTCAATGCTGTGTATCTGAGGTTGGTCTTGTGCTTTCTCCACATCCAACCCAATGAAGTAGGCCACATAGAAGAGAATTACAGACTCTTTCTGCAATCTCTGCTCCCGTAGTATATGTTTCCCTGGTTGGTCTTCTGAGGCATCTACAGTGTTTTTCGGTGGGCGTTCCCATGTGTAATCTTTTATGGGATGAAAACCAGAATCCTCTACCCTTAGGGCATCCTGCCCATAAGTAGTGTGGTTTGTGGTGGTCCCACTCTAGGCAAACAAATTTTCAGTAGCCAAAGTCAAACTGTGCTTTCAGGATACTTGAAAGTGAATTAGGAGGTGAGGTAATGGGACAGGACATGGACCTGACTATTGCTGGCTTTGAAGCCTGAGGAAGGGCAGGCACAGTGGCAGCCACTGGAAGCTGCAAAGGACAGCTCAGTGATGTGCCCTGGTGGCTCCTGAAGGGGCATATCACAAGCTCAGTGTCACATGTCCAACCTACAGGGCTGCAGGATGACAATGCTGTTCAGTGGAGGGCCGCTGTAGAAACAGGGGTGAATTAAAATAAAACCCTACTAAAGAATAAATATTACAGAAATTTGAAATCATTTACTCAAAGAAAAATGGTAAAAGAGCATCATTTTGTAATAGGGTCAATAACACAATGCTTCATGGAAAAGAAAAAGAAAAAAAAAAACATCAGAAAAAGAATGTAATACAGACACATGATCGTCTTAATGCTGTCATAGTAAAGGCATCTAACTTTAGTCCCAGAGCTGGGTTTTGTACTAGGATAACTGCGATTCCCCTTAACACTGAAAACCAGAGGCCTCCTTGGTTTGTATTTTTGGGCCCAATTATTTTGATTCTTTGCATTCTTAGAATGCTTGGGAGGGAGGGAGGCTGGGTGACGATGTTAAGTAATTCTGTAACAAAATAATGAACGCTTTGAAGGCTTAGACATTTCCTTCTATTTGCTTATCTTCCTCCCTTATCCCTTCTGTTTCCCTTAGGTGAAAATTCTTTTTTTTTTTTTTTTTTTTGTCTTTTTTTCCTTTTTACTGGTACCAGGGATCGAACTCACGACTGCCTGCTTGCAAGGCAGGCGCTTATGCCGCTGAGCTAAATCCCCAGCCCCCGAAAATTCAATTTGACTGAAGAATCTGAGTAACAGGGGGACTGATCCAGTCCATTGCTAAGACTGCTCAGCAATGGATTGTGAGTCTGCATCTATCAACATGCTATTTGCTGAGCCTGGTAAATTCTGACTCTGACCTCCGGGTTTAGCCTTACCCTCAGAACTCAGCTCACTACAGGAGCGGGAGGGCGCCTGTGGTATCATTATATCTGGGAACCCACGTGATTAATATGTAGGATCCATACACTAGAAAGGCTGAGAAGTGAATTTCTGTTTGGTAAGTAATGCATATAATTTCAGGTGGAAATGGAAATTACTTTCTCCTGCTTCTTTTCAACAGAGCTTACAAGGCTTTTCTTACTGCATTGCACAAATATGCCTAAATAACGGTGACTGTGATACTCAATATATGCTTGTTTTGCTGGGAGAGGATTTCTGCCCCATACAGAGAGTGCAGCCTGAGCTCTGGTGGCATGTCTTGTGTCCCCTGGTGTGACACCAGGGCCTATTCTGTGTGCTGTGTTGTGATACCGGGCTTTGGCCAGATCCCAGGTAAAGGAAACTCGCCTCATTTTGTTGGCCTAGAGGCTGACTGATGGGTGTGGCGAACATTGCCTCTTTTGTCTGATTAAGTAGCTTCAAATCTAGAAGAAAGGCTCAGTTTTGCAGAATGTGCATCTCTGCATGTACAGAATTTGTTTTCTCTTATTTAAAAGGAGAAACCAAGCCAGCTAGGAGGGAGCATCTGTTTGCTTTTGGAGGCAGCGTAATGTGGAGGCCCTGAGCTTTAACTTTGAATTCAGATGGCCCTAGGTTGGAATCTGAGCCCTGCCACTGACTAAATCTTGATGTTTTTGAAACACGTTACTTTATTTCTACTGTCTCGTGTCCACTGGTAAAATGGAAACAACAATAGTAGTTATTTCAAAGGTTTTTGTGTGTTTGAGAGAGAATGAAATGAGATAACACATGTTAAGGATGTTAGCCTGGTTTTTGATAGTTCTTTGAGGTCTAACATTATCAGTTCTTTCCAAAGATTTCTCAAATAGCCACTAGCTATCACCTACCCTCCGAAATCCATCCTTCAGCATGTAAATCAGAGCCAGGACACATTACACAAGGCTTAGAAGACCGTGTCTAACTGGGGCTCCATGGCCAGTCCAACACTCTAGTTGTTTTGAAACACAAATTCCTTCCTTACCTAGCCATTCTTTGCTTTCAGTCTTTCAGTCTCGTGAGAAGACTGTAAGACTGTCACTCTTCCATATTTCCCTTTTCCCTTTGATGCTAAGGTTGCCTCCTGCCGGCTTCTCCACACACTGCTTTCACACTCTGGTAAAGGATGCAGACCATTTTATGCCACACAGCTCCGTAATGCGTGTGGTACCTGTTATGCACCACCCTGGTTAGTGTGTTATAAACTAGAGCTCGTCCCCAAGGCCATCACTTACTGGATGATTCCCACGTAGTTCTCAATCTCTGCCAAGGGAGCTTTCCTCCAGTTTTTCTTATATCCAATCACCAAAGTGTTTGGCTTCATTCTCCCTAAGCCCGAAGCCTAAACAGAGGACACAAATACATGAGCGATCCTTAGCGTACTGGGAAACTACCACTGCAAATGAAAAATAATGCCCAGCAGAGCGCTGAAGTAATGTTCTGAAGATTCTGGAGATTAGATTACATTTTCATGGTGTCCTTCATGCCCGTACCCAAGCATAAAATAGAAAGATTAGTTCTAAATCATCTCAGCCATAAATGGATTTTAGATGACAGAAATGGAGCTTTTCTAAATTAGCAGTCATTTGCATTTCTTCTGACACACTCATTAAAGTGGCTCAATAATTTAAAATCAAGTAAGGGTCGCCTTAACTGTTGCTGTGCATGTTACAGCGTAGCGGTTCAAAGCTCGTGTCCAACTGTTCTCCCCATAATGTCACTAGCAATTAAATTCATGTTTGGAAAGTTCTTATGCATGAAGATCATTGAAATCGTTCTTATTTATTGAAGAAATGGGTGAACTATGTTTCCAAAACCTAATCTTCTTGCAGGACAGTATCAGTAATACATTCTATATCGGAAGTTTTGCTTTCCTCCTGGATGACAGGCTATGGCTTCCAGCTAATCAGATTTAATTTAGCAATATTATCAGGCTCCTATTAATTGCAAAGTGATGTGTTAGATGCCGTGAGAGAGCAGTGAAGGAATTTCTTGGTGCTGAGGAACTCAGAATAAAAGATATGCATGCATAACTGTTGGTGACATCAGGGTTCCCACAGAAACACAGGACAAAAAGCTTGGATTCCAGATGAAGGGCCACAGACAGTGCTAGGAGCAGGTGGTATTTGTTGTGGGTCTTTGAGTTTGCTTAGATGTTGACAAGTAAAGATAGGAAGTGTGGTGGGAGCAAAGGAAGCCACCAGGATGGTAGAGATGGTAATGACCAGAGCTGGGCTCCATCTATCCCATCTATCCATGTATGCATATATCTATCCATGTATGTATATATCTATCCATCCATGTATGAATGTATCTACTTATCCATGTATGTACGTATGTATCTATCCATTATGTATCTACCATCCATCCATTCATCTATGTGTCTATATATCTATCCATCTATGTATATATGTATTTATGTATCTATTTATCCATGTATCATTCATCCATGCATCTATCTATTCATCCATCAGTGTGTGTATGTATCTATCATCTATGTATGCATGTGTATATCCATGTATGTACGTATCTATCTATGTATCCATCCATTCATGTGTCTATATATCTATCCATCTATGTCTGTATCTATCTATCCATCCATCTATGCATCTATATATCCATCTATGTATGTATATATCTATCCATGTATGCATGCATTTATCTATCTATCTATCTGCGTATGCATGTATATATCTATTCATCCATCTATCTATCCATCTATCCATCCATCCATCTATCTATCCATCTATGTATGTATGCATCTATCCATGTAAGTATGCATGTATGTATCTATCTGTCCATCTATGTATGCATGTATGTATCCATCTATCCATCTATGTATGTATATATGTATCTATCCATGTATGTATGTATATATGTATGCATGCATCTATCTATCCATGTATGTAAGAATGTATGTATCTGTCTATCCACCTGTGTATGCATCTATCCATCCATCCATGTATGTATATATGTATCTATTCATGTATGTATGTATCCACACATGTAAGTATGTACTATGAATCCATGTATGTATGTATGCATCTATCTATCCATGTACATATGCACCCATCTATGTATGTATGTATCTACCCATGTATGTATATACATGTATGCATCTATCTATCTATCTATCTATCTATCTATCTATCTCTCTATCTCTATTACCTTTCTGTCTACTTATCTAGTGGTACTGGGGACTGAAACTTCACACTGAGTTTCATTTACATTGCCAGCTCTTTTTAAAAATGTACCACTCTGCCCTGCCTTTTGGTCATGACTCTTCTGCACTCAAAGATGTTCCTAGGAATTTATACATGGGCAAATTTCTTTCCATTCATTCTGGGAAGATATAAAAATTCTTCCCCATACCTATACCTTTTGCTGGCCTGCTCTTAATCTTTGTCTGCATTCCAATTCCTACTTGAAAATTTTATTATTTTACAAATCTTTTGTGGTAATTTTCACTGTACGACCTTCCCAGGACATCTAAACCAGAGCTCCTGGAAAGTATGTACTATAGAAAGAAAAATTATACTAACATCTATTAGCATGGGTTGGCACATGAATAACAGATGAAAGGAAGCTTAGTGTGGGAACTGGATCTCTCAGTAGTGACTTTATAGGTGTATCAGTGTCAAGAGTGTGTCAAATACTCTTAACCTCCAGAACATTCCAGCTCAGTTATGTTTTCCTCCTGGCCAGGGAAGCATCAAAGTTAGCTGAGTAAGGTCCTGGATTCCCACCCTCCTGAATACGGCAGGTCTGAGGGTCAAATGTTCCATTTGGGAAACATAGAACCACGGCTTCTCACCCCTCTTAAAGCCAACATGTTATAAAGCCATGCCCTATCATTTCTGAGAGTCCCTTGGATTACTTTAAGGATTTTCTAGCACTTTAAGATATGGAAACTGAGGAAAGATTTTATGTACTCACTAGAGAAGGGGCAAAGCAGGGAAGGCAAGAGAAAGAGAACAAGGAAGGAAGCTGAAACGCTGTGGGCTTTAATGTTCAGCTATAGAGATGATTACATTTTATTCACTATGATGAATATGACTCAGGAGGATTGGGAGATTTTACGCCCTGATCGTCATGCATTTATTTAGTTGAGTTTAGCAGCTGCCCTCACACCATTTGCAAAAGAAAAAAAGGAAAAGAATGAACATTGCCATATGAGATGCAAAAATAGTTTGAAGTTTTAATAGGATCCTGAATGCCACCAGCCACTGGGACAAATTTGCATTTCAATACGTTCAGGGCAGTGGGCCTGACTGCTGGTGGCCAGAGGTGACCCAGTTTTCTCCTGCCCCTGTGCCATCCATAGTTCACCTTAATAGAACCTTGCTCTCTGCTTTTGTTCTAGCCTTGCAATCCCTAAGAACTGGAGATGAATTCTTTAGCCACCCACATTGATCTCTGATGCTCAGCCCTTGGATTCTGGAGGGTTAGAAGGTGGGGTCTAATTGTCTTTGGCTTTTTGCTCCTCCCTTCCACACTGGGCTGGTCTTACCTGAAGGAGACTGCGGACACCATCTCTGAAATAGTCCGCTGCCACCGCAGCATAGAAAGCCTTGATTTTGTTCTTTATAAGCCAGGCCTGTTTTTTAGCCATGCCACTGTTCATCTCCTTAACACACAGCTTGCGCGGTCCCTGTGCGACACAATGAAATATGGGTTAGAAGCCTTGCTATTATACATCACGCCACTGGTGTTTTCTGAAGGACAAAAATAGCCAGCGATGCCCTGTTGAGTTAAGAGATGGGAGAGAAGGAAAACACCTTCCCGGGCTGTGTTTGCACAGATGCAACCCTCCAAAGAGGATCTGATCTGTGCTTCTCACCTTCTCCATTTTCCACTCAGAATGCCCAGGCTTGTTACTAACACCTGCTTAATAAGCTGTGGCACGCTGGATGAAGGAAAAGCAGAGGGCATCAGGCACAGGAGGAAATGCTGGATATGTGATGCAAGAGGCTCAGGATAAACGGACAGTCATTAACCTTTGGCCGAATAGCAAGAGCCGCTTTGAGGAACACCAAGCAATTCTCTGCTGGAGCTCAACATCAAGAAATGGACACAGCTCCCAGGAGCAAGAGTGTGGTGGTGAGCTACAAATCCAGCCACAGAGGCTGCATCCGCCTGTCCTTGTGGGATGGGGACAGGCTTGCGTTCAAGCCCCTTGACGCTTCCCTATCACTTCATGCACTTCCCATGGTAGGAAAGAAGTTCCTGTACCCAGGACCTCACGGGCGTGGAAAGGCCAAGGGAAAAGGGGGCGGGTGTTGGGACAAGGCGTGTCTTCATTTCAAGATTTAGTTCTGAAACCGAGTTTGAATAAAAAGTCTGTTTGTTTCTTCTTCCCCCAAACTTCCTGTTACTGCTTTTCTTTTCAGGTGTTAATTCAACTCAAAGGTATTTCTGGTTATCTATTATGTCCCTGATGGGACAAACCTGCTGTTTTCTCTAAGAAATTCAGCTCATGGAGAGGTCTGTATTTTGTTCAGATGGCTTAGATTTCATACGAATCTCTTGGGATCTTGAAAGAATACAGTGTTTACATCTGGGGCTGGACTCGAATTTCTGTGTCTCTAACAGACCTGCGTGGGACTTAATCTTTGAGGGATTTCGGTGGGAGAGAGAGGGCATCTGTCTGATGAAAAAGAGTCCAAGTCTTGCGATCAGGCAGAACTGGTCTAAAATCAAAGTGGGCCACTTTGGAGGTGACTGATTTTGTCTGAACTCTGAACTCTTGTTCTGGGAATGGGAGTGCCTTCTTCTACCTGCACAGTTGTTTTAAGCAGGTACCCACTTCTTTGGCTGGGAAAGTGTAGCCACTCTCTCAAAGCTGATTTCTGCTACCTTAAGTGAGTGCTCACAATCTTATCAAAGACACAGATCCAACTCTATCACTGAGTTCGCTGGGTAACAGCACTGGAGGACCCTAGCTGGGGGAGAGAGGGACTTGGATTAGGCTCTGCACTGACCGGCTTGACATATGTGCTCTGTTTATAAAAACACGGCACTGTGCAGTGTGATAGCACTCACCTACATGTCGCTATGGAGCGTTTGTTTTAGTTGTGGTTGCTCCACACTGAGATGTATCAGAAACATAGAATACATCCTGGATCTTGAAGCCTTAGTCCAATAAGTTAAAATGGCTCATAAATAGTCCCAAGTTGATTGCATATGGAAATGACATTTTGAGTGCACTGAGTTAAATAAAATAAATTCTCAAAGACAACCTATTTCTTTTTACCTTTTCATTTGACCTCTAGATGGTTCAAAATTACATATTTGATGCAAACACATACATATTAGATTTCTGTTGTTTAAAGATAGATGAGTAATGAGGTCTCTCCCATTTTAATATTCTGTTTAAATTATATCAGTTTCTTCATCATACTTATTTTCTATAACCTGCCGACTTTCCAAAACAATCCAACTGACTGCGATCAAAGATAACAAACAAGGAATGATGGTAAAGGTAGGAACATAGGGAGGCAGTTAAGGAGCTAGAAGACCTAGAAGGAAGAAAGATATGCCACTGTAGGTCAGAGGTAGCTCAGGCTCCAGACTGCCAGTGCACTGGGGACTACCAGTCTTTCCTTGGGCACTTTAGTCTTCACTTATTAGGAAAGAAGGATTATTTTACTGATGGAAATCCAATGGTAACAACAGCCATTAGACAGAGGAATAACCCACAGTAAGAAAGACGCTGGCCCATCAGTATATTGAATCGTGCCATAACTGTGAGCCCCCGGGGTGGGGGAAGCATTTATTTAAATAAATACAGTCTAATGCATACCTATTATGATTACAAAAACCTAGGTTAAACATTAATTGTGACAGAGAGATTTATTTAGATGACTAAATTTGCCATACTGGGGTGTCATAAGAATATTTCATGTAGAATTTTCTTTTTGCTAAGAGCGATTATAAAATCTCTTGCAGCAAACTTACTAATGTGAAACCAGGCTGCCAAGGCAAATGCAGCACAGATAAAACCAGCTAGCACCGCGGGAAGACGCACTCAAATACAATCATGCAATATCCAAAAATATCATAACCATATAGACAGATTCTGCCACCCAGCTAATATATCATAGAGCCTGGCTTTAGTGGGCACCCTAATTATGAGCACATAAAATTAATTCAGGATTCGAACAAAGAAATCATAAATGTTTTATATATACAAAGAGTGATCAAAAGCTGTGATAAATATTTAAGTTAAAAAAACTTGTTACAATAAGAGACACATTGCCAAGAATGATGAGATGATTATCTTCAAAGTGGGGGAAAGTCCTTTAAGTATTCCTTGAAGGGCGAATGGCAATGTGTCTTTTACTGTAATAACTTTTAATGTAAACAGTCATTGTCTTTTTTAAATCACAGTTTGTTGGTTAAATGTTTATAGTAATTTTTGTCAAATCAAAACATCACAGTGCGACATTCTCTACCTTTTTCACTGGATCAGGCACCATGTGACTTGTGGCTCTTCCCCAAAGGACCATGAAAAGTAAATGTTTTGAACTGATTGAGGACATGGAGGCAGCTACAACAACACGACTAAAGACCCTCAGGAAAGAGGACTCCAGAACTGCTGCAGAAGGTAGCAAGAAGGATGGGACAAGAATCATTTATCAAGTGAAGTGGAAGATTTTGAGGGGATTGATAGCCATGTGTCTTTGACTGTAACACATTTTAAAATATTAAACATTCACTATGTTTTAAAAAAATTATACCTTGTAGAATAAGTTGGACAAGGACTCAGAAAATAGTAAGAATTTCTAAATTAGTCTGGATAAGAAGTTGTGACACCACTTGAAATAAGACTATAATGAAAAGCAATTTTTAAAAAGAATTCAAAGATTCTTGGAGTTCAGTGGAAGAAGTTAGGCTAAGTGTAACATTCTTTTCAACTTTTATTTTTTAAAGCATGAGGCTCTTATTTGCCTGTCTTCATTTTCATTCCTTGTGTGGGCGGCACTGTGAGCAGAAGAATTTTCTCTTCATCTCACCGGGCGTCTTAGTGGCCTTTAGAGATCACTTTGTTCTTTCTGTATTTGCTCACATCACAATCTTATTAACACCGTGATAGAGATTCGCTAACAAAAAGAAATACACCCATCTAAAATGAACACAAACTTTCCTGGGTAGGTATGGAAGTTGGGATTAAGAGAAGGCTCAAGACAAAAAACAACTAGAATTTCAGTGTCCCCTGAATTTTCTGGAGTTAAACAGTCCTCCACTCTGCCATGGAATCAAGAGATGGTTGTCTTGTCTGAGTTTTCTTGAGAAATCCTTATGAAAATTTCAAAGGGTCAGGGATATAGCTCAACGGCACAAGCACCTGCCTGGCAAGTGCAAGGTGCTGAGTTTGAGTCCCTGTACAAAAAATAGTCTTTAGAAAAGTGAAATTCTTCTAATTATACAGTAACTATTTGGCTGGTAATATAGCTCAGTGGCACAAGTGACTGCCTGGCAAATGCAAGCTCCTCAGTTCGATTTCCAGTACAAAAAAAATTTCAGACTGCTCCAGACAGCTGGATATAGTGTGTATGTCTGTGATCTCATTCAACAGGGAGGCGGGCAGGTAATTTAGTGAGAACTACTCTCAAAGTACAATTTTAGACAGGGCTAGAGATGTAGCTCAGAGGTAGAGCTCTTGTCTAGTTTGCATGAGGCTCTGGGTTTACACACACACACACACACACACACACACACAGAGAGAGAGAGAGAGAGAGAGAGAGAGAGAGAGAGAGAGAGAGAGAGATTGTAAATTTAAAGTGTCTTAAAATTTTTAAAAAGAAAGAGAAACGGTAATAGCTAAAAGGAATCTACATGAGGATGATCACCAGCCCTCCCTTTTGTCTTTGCAACAAGAAGAGAGAGTGTGAAAACATAGGAAAATGTAATCAACATAGATTTGTGCCTTTGTACACATGTGTTTACCCTTAAAAAGTTAGATAGCCTTGTCCTGGAGTCTGGAGTTGGCATACAGAGCACTTTAGCCGAATCTCACACTGTTTCATTTCTTTTATAAAGCAAGTGGAAGCATCTACCACAAAAGTTTCAGCAGTTGTTAATTAGAAGAGGCAGAACAGGGGGCTCAGTAATTTCATATTATGGAACTATATAAAGCCATTGGTATCAAACAGTTTTGATCTAACAAATTTTATGTAATTTATGTACACTTTTATGATTTAGTCTATTATTTTTCTTAACATTTTGAAGTAAAAATAGAAGCAATCTTGAAAAAAATCTTTATTTTTCAACCGCCAGCATGACACAAATATGACTTGTCATGCGGGCGGATGAAAGGTGTCACCTTGTGCAACAGGGGCATATGTCTTCATAACACTGGCTATGTCTGATTTGTAGTCTTAACTCCAGATCAATGGAACCTACTTTTGGTCTTTAAAAGTAGCAGGGTTTCATTTTAATTTAAAAAGAAACGTCGCCTTTAAATGCAAAACTGAGAGATAGGGTTGCAGGACTGCCCAGGTCCTCCTGGGACATCTTTGCATGTGGGGTGGGAGAATTAGATGCCCACACCACAATACATTTTAGGGCTGGGTGTGGGGTGCCAGAGAATTAGCCATGTAAACAATAAAATCAGCTCATCTCGGAGGACCAGTGTTGCTATGCTGTCTC